TGAATGGGCAGCACCAGTTGTACCGATTTTGAAGCTAAATGGGTCAGTCACCTTTGTGGAGATTTTTAAAAAATGGTAAATCATTTCTCACAGCTGGATAAATACTCAATCCCTCAGAAGCAGGATTTATACACAAAGTTGGCAAGACGTCTGTCTTTCACAGAGCTGGACATGAGCCGGACATGAGCCACGCTTACTTACAATTGTATTTAGACCAGGATTCCTAGAAGTATTCAACAACTAATACCCATAAGGGCTAGTACCAATATATGAGACTACCATTTGGGGTATTGGCAGCCTGTTCAATTTTTCAATGGATGAATGGAGAACATTTTCTGAGGTCAATCTTAGACTTACATGCTGTCCTGATAACTGGGAAAACCAAAGCTTAGATAGCTTGAATATCATTCAAGCTGGATGTTTTTCCAAGGCAGGTGTACCCCTAAGAAGGGAAAAATGTGTGTTCCAGGCCACCCAAGTGACATACTTGGGCAACAGAGTTGATAAGACTGGTTATACACATTGGAAGATAAAGTAAGGGCGATCAAAGTTGTCTTGATTCTCATGTCTGTCCAGAAGGTTGGATCATTTCTTGGTGTGGTAAATTACTATCAAAAGTTCATACAAAACCTGGTATCCATCCTGGCACCTTTGTATCAACTCCTAAAAACGGGTCAGTCTTTGAAATGGTCTCGTAGACAAGGGCTAACTTTCAATGAAGTAAAGAAACAAATTTCACCAAGGCAACACCCATCACCCCCTCCACCAAGGTCTGGGAAAATCAGACTTAACCTGATGAATGTCTTCTCCCCATTAGCAACTCTGCCGGCACTCTCCTTGTAGATGCACATCGACTATGCCGGTCCTTTCATGGATTCAATAATCTTAGTCATTGTAGATGCCCACTCAAAGTGGTTAAATGTGCATAGGTGCACTGGGATTATGACAGAAAAACTGTGCACATCTTTTTCAGCACACAGAGTCCTGGAAGTGTTGAAAACAGGTGACAAGCCATCATTTAACATCAAATGGGATTCGACAAATAAGGACAGCTCCATACCATCCATTATCTAATAGCCTGGAAGAAATAGTGAGGTTCAAACTTCGAAGGCTAGATTGAAGAAACAGCCGACAACCTCGCTAGATACCAAGCTGTCATGGTGCTTGTTTGATTATAGGACCACATCACATGCAAGATTCTGCACCAGGTTAAGTCTGATCTTCCTGGACCAGGAGGGAGGGTGAAATGGCATCAGGAACTCCAGTGTTGGACCCAAGACTCCGCCAAGCGAGGCAAAAAGTTTGAAACAAGGAATGAAGTTTGGTCGAAGAATCACAGAAATCGCCAGGCATGTGGAACAGGCATGGTCAATGTGAAGTCAGGACCAGTGACCTATATAGTTCGGCTAGGTATGACAGTCCTGAATATGCATGTGGACCAAATGAAAGCAGCAAATTCACAAATGACGTGGAGAAAAATGTGCCTTGCCTCTCAGAATCTTTAAAAATGCAGGCAAAACCTGTGGATTCAACCTCTCATGACAGAAATGAAAAAGATAAACATAATAAAATTGACCAATACCCAGGACCAGATGTTGAAGGAAATAAGTGAAAGCACTACAGATGTTCTAACTGTGGATTTTCAAAGTGCTCTTTCTTCAGTGATTAGATTTAATTCTGTGCAATGTCAATCTACTATTTCAGAACAGTAAGAGGGGCAACAAGAGAATTATAGATCAGTCCTCCTGACATCTGTTGTCCAAACATTACTGGACTCTAGAATTAAGGGTGGAGTAATAGGACACCTTGAATATTTTCAGTTGACAGGGAGAGCTAGTATGTATCTGTAAAAGATAGCATTGTCAGATGAGGCTGGTTAGATTTTTAAGGAGGTGATGAAAGTTGTAGTTGGGGAACATCTCCAGATGTTATTTATAATAGGTTTTCAAAAGGCATTTGATAATATCCTTCATAAAAAACTGCTTGTTAAAGGTGTAGCACATGGAATTAAAGGGAAATTACTGAACTGATTTGACATTGGCAGAGGGACAGAGTGGGGATAATAAGCAGATACTGTAAATGGCAGGATGTAATTGATGGTCTCCTCAATGATCTATGTTAAATTCTCAACTACTTATGAATGAACGAATAAAGCAATGATAAATATAAGCTTAAGTAATGGAATTGGATGGCTTTCTTGTAAATCAAAGCCACTTTGGCTCCTCATCCAATACATCTTTCCTAAAATGTGGTACTCCAGTTGAGGAAGTATAGAACCGGAGGTGGGTCTGGGGTAAGAGCGTTGAACAGCATGTCTAAATATTAGACCAAAGCATTTAAGCTCACATTTAAAAGCTAACCAGGTCCCTGCATAGCTGTATCCTAATTTGCCAGCTATAAAGGCAACATTTCACTAGCTTTTGATTAGATTCTGTCTCTTTTCAGTACACTTTAAGGACATGTGAATCAAACCCCCCGAGACTTTTTGAGGTCTTCTGTTTCTAGCTTTTCACCATTTCATGGATTGTTGGGCAGATTTTCTCAGTGTAATTGCTGCTTTACAGCATTCAAGGCAGAAATTCTTGCTGGAAGAGGATATTACAGGAGTCCAAATTGAGATTCTTTCAAAGCATGCATAGTGTGTAAATGAGGAGTGGGTCTGGTTACATAAATGTTACCATAAGCTTACAAAAAAGAAACAGTAACTAGATCTTGTTCACATTACAGGAATGTTTGGTTGTGCTCATTCCTGGCATATATTGTGCTTAGCCTTCACTAGAATTGCACTACAATTGTAGTGAGGTTGTACCATAACATGAATCCTTCACGGCTTTTCAGCTTTCAAATCATAAATGTTGAGATACAAACATTTACTTTGAAACAAGTCAATTTTACTATTACACATGTAAGCTAAGAGAACAGTTCAAGGTCAAACTAAATAACTACCCATGAAAACCAGATAGACTCACATTGTCAGAAAGCTTTAGTGTATAAAGGTTATAGTTCAACTGAAACTGAATGAGACAGACCAAGAGAACAAGGTGTAGAGCTGGATGAACATGGCCTGCCATGTTCATCCAGCTCTACACCTTGTTATCTCAGACTCCAGCATTGGCAGTTCCTACTATCTCTGAGACAGACCAAGATGTGTTTTCCAGGTTAGATCCCTGTGCTTTTTGAGTTACAGTAGGTAAACAAAAGGCATAGTTACTTTGTATCAGGGTGTGCTGGCAAGATGGATACAGAACTGGCTTGGTCATAGGAGACAGAAGGTAACAGTGGAAGGATGCTTTTTGGAATGGAGGGTTGTGACTAGTGGTGTTCCACAGGGATCAGTGCTGGAACCTCTGCTGTTCCTGGTCTACATAAAGGGTTTGGAGGAAAACATAGCTGGTCTAATTAGTAAGTTTGCAGGTGATACAAAGATTGGTAGAGTTGCAGATAGTGAGGGGGCGGGGGGGTGGATGGTCTAGTAGTATTATCGCTGGACTGTTAATCCAAAGACCCAGATGATGTTCTGGGGATCTGGGTTTGAATCCCACCACAGCAAATGGTAGAATTTGAATTCAATAAATATCTGGAATTAAGAATCTAATGATGATCGTGAATCCATTGTCAATTATCAGGAAAAACCCATCTGGTTCACTAATGTCCTTTAGGGAAGGAAACTGCCATCCTTACCTAGTCCTAGGCCTATATGTGAGTCCAGTCCCACAGCAATGTAGTTGATTCTGGGCAATTAGGGACGGGCAATAACTGCTGCCTAGCCAGCGACGCCCTCATCCCATGGATGAATAAATGGAAAAAAAGGACATAGGTCAGTTGGAGATGTGGGCAGAAAAATGGCAGATGAACTTTAATCCAGACAAATGTGAGGTGATGCATTTTGGAAAGTCAAGTACAAGTGAAAATTATACAGTGAATGGCAGAACACTTAGGAGTGCTGAAATGCAGAGGGATCTGGGTGTGCAGGACCACCGATCACTGAAGTTGGCAGCGCACGTAGATAAGGTGGTAAAACAGGCCAATGGCATTCTTGCCTTCATTGGATGGGGCACTCAGTATAAGGATAAGCAATTTATGCTGCAGCTTTACAGAACTTTAGGTAGGTCATACTTGGAATATTGCGTACAGTTCTGGTCACAAAACTACCAGAAGGTTGTGGATGCTTTGGACAGCGTATGGAAAAGGTTTACCAGGACGTTGCCTGGTATGGGGGATTTTAGCTATGAAAAAAGGTTGGACAGACTGTTTGTTTTCACTGGAATGCAGGAAGTTGAGTGGCGACCTGATAGAAGCTTATAAGATTGTGAATGGCATGGATAGGCTGGAAAGTATCAGGCTTTTTCCTAGGGTGGAGGGGTCAATTACCAGGGGATACAGGTTCAAGGTGAGGGGAAGAGAAGATTAAAAGAGATTTGTGAGGCAGGTTTTTCACACAAAAGATGGTCAGTGCCTGGAACGCATTGCCAGAGGAGGTGGTGGAGGAGGAGCAGATACAATAGCAACATTCAAGAAGCACCTGGATGAATACATGAATAGGAAGGGAATAGAGGGATACAGATCCTGTAAGTGAAGACAGTTTTAGTATGGAAGGGCAAAATGCAGCGGCACAGACTTGGAGGGCCAAATGGTCTGTTCCTGTACTGTACTGTTCTTTTTTCTAATTCACAGGGTAATCAGATGAGGAACTATACAGTGGCTTTCACTTTTCCCTGCCCAAAGATGAGATCTGACCAGGGTTTCACTCTATTTCCATTGTGTCATTTTTACAAGTGGATGGAGTGGTTCAGTTGTGAATTTACAAGTCACTCTACACATTTACGTCAGTATTCACAGGGGGCACTACTCAACATTACATACAAACTCTGCTAAAAGCAGGCATTCCTTGTGTTATCAAAAAGTGTATAAAGGTGAACAAAACACTACAATTTGCAACATCATTGTTCCCAACTTATAAAATTGGAAATGACAATGTAACCACAAAGTTAAACACTCACCGGTCTGGCTGAGCTGAGATGTGCTCCTACTTCTCCTTGTCAATCCGACAATGGCCACCATTTTGGCACCCAGACTTGATCTTCGCTTCTTGCCCCCTGATCCTATTGTTCCCACAGCCGTATCGGACTGACTGCCATCGTTATTTTCCAGACTATACATCTCCTCACTGACACTTGTGCTCTTCATAATATTTCGCCCTGATGTCCCCATTTGTCTGCTTTGCATTTTAGAGGTAAATGCACTTTTTTTTCCACATTCAATTCATCATGGGAAAACATGGAAAGGGAAGAAAACAGATTGAAAATAAATTGGTACAGTTTACCTTAAACTGTAATCCTACTGTTTGAGAATAATAATAAAAAAATCTCATACTTCTGTGAACCTTGATTTCTTTTGGGTCAGATTTGTTGAGATTTCTTACAAACACTGAGAGTGATGGGACAGAATTCTAACTGAACCAGATTCTTGATTCACAGAGTGATATTAAATCTGCAGTACACCTAGTTACCAAATGAAAGAAATGCTGCTCATTCTGATCCGGAGCCACACAGATGAGGCTGCATCCAGATTCAATCCCAGGCTGTAGTGAGTGAGTTAGTTGCTCTCAGTTTGTTGACAGTCTTCCTTAGATTACAACTGATGGCTTCAACTGCAGCCTTAGACTTTGGGTGAAGATGAGGCCTGGCTATGGGTTTGTTTTTTTTTAATTCTCTTGTGGGATGTGGTTGTCACTGGCCAGCCAGCATTTATTGCCTGTCTCTAGGCTCAAATTAAGCACTCTGCCAGGACATAAAGACTGGCTCTAACAGTCACACAGGAACAGGAACCTACATTATCCAGTAGGAATCAGCTTCCTCAGGAGAGGAAGGGGAGACAATTAGTAAAGAACAATTTTATAAGTAGCACACCCACAATGCATCATTGTCCTGTTAGCACCGTTAAGTTTAAGGTTTCAATTCCTGTTGAGACTGAATAGCATCTTGATGATGAGGAAAGCTGAGTTCGATGGGCAATGTTGAGTGATCATTTGACTAAAAATTGCTTCAATTTCTATCTGACTCCTTTTATGATTCATCAGAGCAGGCAGTATTCTCCACAAGCATTGAAACGACACTCAAGGATGGAATTGACGGAGCACTATGATTGTAACTTGTAACAGAAAGACAACTACTGAATACTAATGTGTTTCATTAGATTCACAGTATGATCCACAATAATCATGATTAAAAAACAGAAGAAACACATAACAACCCATGACAGTTACTGCTAAGTCCAACTGGAGATGGGATCAGTGATTTCATTTCTTAAATTCACACAAGGGGAAATCTTACATTGAATCATAAGGTCTGTTCCCTATCAAGCAAGGCGAAGAATCAAAACTAAGGAATACCATAGAGTTAGGTTTAAATCCTGTACCTCTTGCAGTGCAGATATAACTTTTGTTAAACATATTTCCTGAGTTTGTCTAACTGGCAGTTTATTTCACAGCCTGGTGCCAGAATATGATATCCCACTCTGTAGTTTTAATATAAAGAGGACCACAGAGCAGTCACAGAATAACTGAACACAGAATGAGGCCAACCAGCCCATCATGCCTCTGCTGGCTCACAATACCAACTCAGCGCGCTCTCTATTCTTTCCCCTTTTTTTCATTAAAAGCAATAACAAACTCTCTTTTGAAAATTATTATTGAATCTCTTTATATAGTACCTTCAGGCAGTTGAGTTCAGATCAGAATTCAATGTGTAAAACTGTTCTTTCTCACATCTTTTATCAATTAACATAAATCTCTTTGTTCTGTTTCACATCCTTTGGCCAATCGCAACAACTCACCATTTTGAACATCTTTCTTTAAGTTTTCCATTAACAGCTCTGTGCTAAGGAGAACAATGCCAGTTTCTCTACTCTCGCAACATATCTGAAGTCCCTCATATCTGCAGCCATTAGACTAAATAGGATTGCAGATTTATAGAAAACTGAGACTAAAACGTTAGTGATGAACTAAAAATGATTGTCTCCTCCAATTTAATGCAGGAAACCTCCAGAGTACTGCAATGCTGTTTTGATGCATAAATGTGAAGTTAAATGAGACAGTTTCCCAAAAGCTTCTATCCCAAAAAACATTTACACCACAAAAAGCTGAAAGTGCAAGTTTAACTTTACAAATGAGAATGGATCTGGGTGGGACCAGCAGTCCACCTCCTTAAACATTGAGATTTAAAGATTGAGAATGAAACATGATAGAGAAGGAAACAGAAGGAATACAAGTCAAATTTGATCTAGAAAAAAACTGATGAGAGAAAGGTTTGATTAACAGAAAGGTAGATAGAGACTGAAAAAAATAATGTAAGGAAGCAACTTAAATGTGAAAAACTGCAAGAACATGTATTCATCCACAAGAGTGGGACACCAGGTTTTCACTTCTTCCCCTGCTGAGACAAATAGGGCATTACAAGAAAAGAAGTCTCATTATTAAAACCAGTGGTAGACCATTAAGTACCTGCTGGGCTGAGTTTAACACTGAGTTTGCAAATAGAGTCTTTCACTGAAATTCACGGGGATACTCACAGCAAGGTACTGATTTTCTCTGAAACCAACATTTTCTATCATCCAGTAATTCATGATGACTTGCAACTCACTTTGTATGTCTTCCTTACTGCAAAATGCTGCATGATTAATTTTGAATAATGACTTGTTGATTATAATAACCATTATTCACCCAGTATTTCCTGAGCTATTCACCTAATATTCACCTATCATGACAAACTGCTTTAAGAAATCATGTATTAAACAAATAAATAAATAATTTAGTCCCATGTTCAGTTTTTGTACATTAGTGTTTTCCCACTATTCCAAGTGGCATCAATCACACTGATTCCCCTTGACATTTCCTATGTTCTCTGGAATTCCTGGAGCCTTCATTTGATCTTTGAAGTTGAGACAATGTGATGTTAGCTCAGCAAAGCCTTCAACAGCTGCTCCTTTCCTTCATACATGTTTTTAAAAAAGAAACATTTTAAACCAGTTGTACAGCACTGTCAACACATTTGGAGAAGGTAGTGGCATTGCAGCAAGTCACTGGACAGGTAATTTAGAAAAAGGCTCAAGTGACCATAGATTCAAATCCGTCCACAACCAATCACAAAATCTGAATTCAGTGAATAAATCTGGAATTAAAAGCTAGTCTTACAGGTGATCTTGATACGATTGTCATTTATCATTAAAACTCAACTGCTTCAATGGAAGGAAATCTTCCATCCTTACCTGGTCTGGGCTACATTCAATTCCAGACCCACAGTAATGTGGCTGACTTTTAACTGTCCTCTGAAATGGATGAGCAAAATACTCAGTTGTAACAACTACTTGAAAGGAAAAAGGAATGGAAACTGGATGAATCATTTGCCATCGACTTAGGCACTGGAAATGACAATGATAAAAGCAGGTGGCTCAGTGGTTAGCACTGCTGCCTCACAGCACCAGGGACCCAGGTTCAATTCCACCCTTGGGTGACTGTCTGTGTGGAGTTTGCACATTCTCCCCGTGTCTGCGTGGGTTTCCTCCGGGTGCTCTGGTTTCCTCCCATCCAAAGATTTGCAGGTTAGGTGAATTAGCCATGCTAAATTGCCTATAGGGCTGTGTAGATTAGGAGGGCTACAGGGGGATGAGTCTGGGTGGGATGCTCTGAGGTTCGGTGTGGATTTGTTCGGCTGAAGGGCCTGTTCCCACACTGTAGGGATTCTATTCTATGATTCCTCCTTATTAACATTCAGGGACAAGTGACAAAACTGGGAGAGCTGTCTCACAGACTAGTCAAGCAACAGCCTGACACAGTCACTCTCATAGAATCATACATTATACATAATGTCCCGGCACCACAAACACAATGCCTAGGTATGTCCTATCCCACCAGTATGACAGTGGATACAGGGATAACAAGGTGTAGAGCTGGATGAACACAGCAGGCCAAGCAGCATCAGAGGAGCAGGAAAGCTGACGTTTCGGGCCTAGACCCTTCGATACAGTTGGAAGGGAGATGCTGTGGGAGTCTTCAACATTGTCTACAGACCCTGTGAAGTTCCAGCATATCAGAACAAACATAGGCAAGGAAGCATCCTGCTGATTAACCATCATCAAAAGGTCAGACATTTAATGATGGTTAATCATCAGATTAACCAACAGATCAGACGATTGCACAAGAAGCTGTCCATGTCCAAATGCAGCAAGACCTGGACAATATCCAGATGTGGGCTGACAAATGGCAAGTAACACTTCCACCTCTTAAATGCCAGCAATGACTTTTTGGACTGGAGTCCTGTGACCAGCGGTGCATAACAAGAATTGGTGCTATGTACATGCTTTTTTGGTCGTTTATATAAATGATTTGGATGTGAATATTGGAGGTATTGTTAGTAAGCTTTACATGACACCAAAATTAGCGGTGTGGTGAATAAGAAACACAGTACAAGAGTACACCATTCAGCCCTTCGACCTATGGCTGATCATGCAAACTCAGTATCCAATTCCCACTTTCTCTTCATACCCCTTGATCCCTTTAGCCACAAGGGTCACATCCAGCTCCCTCTTGAATGTATCTAATGAATTTGGCCCCAACAACTTCCTGTGGGAGAGAATTCCACAGGTTCACTACTCTGAGTGAAGAAATCTTTCCTCATCTCAGTTCTGAATGGTTTACCCCTTATTCTTAGACTCTGACCCCTAGTTTTGGACTTCCCCAATGTTGGAAACATTCATCCCGCATCTAGCCTGTCTGTCCCATCAGGATTTTATGTTTCTATGAGATTCCACCCCCCTCCCCCATTCTTCTAAACTCCAGCAAGAACAAGGCCACTCAATCCAGTCTTCCTTCATATGTCAGTCCTGCCATCCTAGCAATCAGTCTGCTGAACCTTTGCTGGACTCCCTCAATGGCAAAATGTCCTTCCTCAGAAACGGAAACCAAAATTGCACACAGTATTCAAGGTGTGGCCTCGCTAAGGCCCTGTAAAACTGCAGCAAGACATCCTTACTCCAATACTCAAATCCTCTCATTATGAAGGCCAGCATGCCATTAGCTTTCCTCACCACCTGCATGCAAACTTTCAGCGGCTGTTCCACCATGACACCCAGGTCTCATTGCACCTCACATTTTCCTAAACTGCCACCATTCAGATTCAGATTCAGATCTGCCTTGCTGTTTTTGCCACTAAAGTGGATTCATCCACACCATATTGCATTTGCCCA